AACCCATATCTGTGGCTTCCAGCCAAGCAAAAGACAGGTATATGAGTTGAACATTTACCTGAGGTAGATACACCCCTTGGAGAGAACAATCATGGGAGAAAGAAGGGCTGTTTATGCACAGGGAGACAGCTCGGGTGCGTGGAGGGATGGACACAGGGAAGAGGTGACTGTCTGGAGGAAGGGGGAGGGGAGCTGTTGCATTGTGGTGAATTGTCAATGTCATGAGACAAAGTGTATGTGAGCTGCTGTATGGAAAGTGAATTTGCTCTGTAAATTTTCACCCAAATCACAATTAAAAAAAGAAGAAGAATTCAGACAGGTAGAAGGAGAAATAGTTATCTCTAGACCTATGACCCAAGGGGCTCTGGTGGTGTAGTGGTTAAGGCATTGGGCTGAGAACTGAAAGGCCGGTGGTTCGAACCCACCAGCAACTCCACAGAAGAAAGATAAGACAGTCTGCTTCTGTAAAGATTTATAACCTTGGAAACCCAAAGGAGGTTGCTGTGGGTTGGAATCAACTTGATGGCAGTGAGTTTGGTTTTGGCTGAAAATGTATCAAAGATTACCTCCATAAGTGAAAAAACACCCTAGCAAAAAAGGGGAAAAAAAAGCAACAGGCGGTTTTTGGTGTTGGTGTTAGGTAGGGGTGAGTTGGTTCTGACTTGTAGGGACCCTGTAAACAACAGAACAACACTCTGCCTGACCCTGCGCCATGCTCACAACTGTTGCTGTGTTTGAGCTCATGGTTGCAGCCACTGGGTCAGTCCATCTCTTTGAGGGTCTTCCTCTTTTTCACTGACCGTCTGCCAAGCATGGCATCCTTCTCCAGAGACTGGTCCTCCTGCAAACATGTCCGAAGCACGTGACACAGAGTCCAAGGAGCCTTCGGGGTGTACTTCTTCTGAGACAGAAGTGTCCCTTCTTCTGGCAGTCCGTGGGACATTCAGTATTTGTCACCAACACCACAGTTCACAGGCTCAGTTCTTCCTTGGTCTTCCTTATTTCTTGTCTGGTTTTCACATGCATATGAAGTGATTGAAAGTACCCCGGCTTGGGTCAGGCACACCTTAGTCATCAAGGTGACAGCTTTGCTCTTGATTGGAGTCTAATCCTGATGCCATGTTGTTCTTCGTATAGTCCGGCTTCTCAGGTGAGAATTGCTCAGCATACACAGGTTGAATAAGTATGGGGAAAGGATACAACCCTCACGTACTCCCTTCCTGATTTTAAACCATGCAGTCAGTGTCCCCTTGTTCTGTTAGAATGACTGCCTCTTTTTTATTTTTTTAATTTTTATTGTGAGCTGGGTGAAAGTTCACAGAGCAAATTCATTTTTCATACAGCAGTTCATGCACATTTTGTTTCATGACATTGACTGCAATCTCCACAATGTAACAGCTCTCTTCCCACTTCCTCCTTGTAGTTACTTCTTTCTTGGGTCCCTCTTTCTTATGCATTCCTGCCCCCCCGAGCTGTCTCCCTGTGCATGCACTGCCCTTCTGTTCTCCCATGATTGATTGTTCTAAAGAGTATATCTGCCTGATGCAGATGTTCACCCCATATGCCTGTCTGTTGTTTGGCTGGAAGCCATGGGAGTGAGTTCAATTCCAGACCTGAAGGGTAACTAGGGGGCATAGTCTTGGGGGTCTCACCAGGCTCTAGCATACCAATAAACCTGATTTTTTTTTTTTATGATTTTGAGTTTTGCCCACATTGTTCTCCCACTCTGTCCAGGATCTCCTGCACTGATCCCTTTCTGAGTGGTGGACAGGTAGCCAGGCACTATCTAGTTCTTCTGGTCTCATGGTCATATAGGCTGAGGTTCGCATGGTCCACTAGTCCTTTGGACCAACTGTTTCCATGCATGTTTGGTTTTCTTC